AGTTTAAGCTTGAGCCCCACCCACATTTGCCTCCCTTAGAGGTTTGAATTCATTTTCCGACGAGCAGCCCCTTCATTTTTATATGGCAGTCCTTTTGCGGATTACCCACAAATATCGGCATATAAACTCGGACGATTTTGGCGGCCACCTCGTTCTTCGCATAGAGGACCAAGAAAGGAATATTAGGACCAACGACAGGCATGTAATTGGTCTGGAGATTGCGAAGATCGTATACCATCTATTTTCAAGGATGGGATCACGTACGTATAAAATCGTAAAATCATCTCTAATATCCTTATCACTAGTTCCTTTATCTGTGATAAGATAACGACAAAAGGGCCAATGGGTATTGTCGTAATCTTAATTTCAAGTTCAGACAATGATAAACCAGTCAGTAGTCCACTTATTTTTTTTTGTTTAGAAATATGCGGGAAGTGAAGATCCAAACATAATGAAGTTATGGCGAAAAGTAAATAGGAAGTGGCTTTAAGTCAAATATCCTGGTATTAATCACTGTTGCACTATGGCATAAAGTTACACAGTCAGCTGACGCACTGGCACATTTGAGATCATTTATGAGCTGACGGATTTGAATATCACAAGATACACGCGTGAAACAGAAAGTGATAAGCGCATCCTTTGCATATCTAAACCTTGTGGAGTCGAAGTTAAATTGTCAAAATCGTGATTACCTTTAGGCATATTATATTACTGAGAGTACTCATGACAAATGACATGGAAAATTCACCGACAGAATTTTGTATTGAAGCCCAACGTGGACAAAAACCTCTGAATTCGAACAATCAGTAAATGTGAGAACTGACGCAAAGGCTGAATCCGGCATTGTCAAAGGTTTCCCAGCACTTGAACATTTCTCCAGGTCGAGACCCCTACACTGTTTTTACGTCTTTTCTCGTCTCACGTCTTGATAGCGGTTATTACCCTGTTCTTACAGACGCTTGCATTCTAACACTTTAATGATGCAAAAATACATACACCTGAACAACAGCTGAAGGATCTAGGATCACATTTTTAAAAATCCGCCTTTGGACCCTCTGTGTGGATCCTAATTCATATTGATATCGATTTACTAAATTAGGCGACACCGCGTTTATCATTTCGTTTTTGTGACTCCCGTGCGGCGCTCATTTGATACACCAGCCTACCGCGGACAACTTTGTTGAACCACTCAGAGAGGATCTTATTGCTTTTATGTCTCAGCATACCGAGATGCTATGACAAAGAATATAAAGACTGAAATACTTCACAAAATCTTATGAAAAAAAAAATACAAAAACAAAAACAAACAACGAGCGAGATTGCATGCGAGGAAACGAAGATCTGGTACAAATTTCCCTAAAATAGTCAAATATAAATCCCCTAGTCGTTCAAAGCTTAACAACTTGACAGGCTAACGGTTTTATTTAGTGGTGGTATAAACATGTTACAACCGAACACTCTCAGGCTACTCGGTCACTTCACCCGCTGTCCATCACGGAATTGATAGCGTACAGCATTACTAGCAATTAGCACTAGCACTGTACATAGACAATCAGATTTTAGATCGAAGGCCGGTAGATTATACATCTAAAATTTTATATTAATATCAAATTACTAAAGGTATCCGGACACTAACTTAATTCAAGGTACATTTCACAGATGATTTCATTTTTTTAAGGGAAAATAACAATTTACTTGATAAGAATTTATAAGTACGAGACTTGTTGTGGAGTAGACGTGATTAGCGGGTTGTTGATTTTACTTCTTTGAACTCCAGTCCATGATATTTTCTTAATTTTTCTTCAAGGACTACCGTGTACCATCGTCCCATATCGCTCCTGCCCATTTATATAGTGTAAAGGTGAATGTGTGGAGGACCTTCTCGCTGCAAAATGTAAATACTTCCACCTGTCACTTGACAGGAGAAACATGGTTCTCGTTAATGCTATCTGTAAAACAAAAATGTTCGTTTAGAACGCGATTGAAGTATGTCGAATAGCCTCTTCAAGGCGTTCAGACTCTGAGGGCGAACCTCTGAGAGATGCGAGTACGAAAAGGGCGAGGGGGTGGGGTAGGGAGTAATGCGTATTTTTCCCGACCCACTCTACTACCAAGAGGGCCAACTACTGGGAGTCGAACAAAGGACGGCTGGCCGGCCGAGACTATTAATACGAAGAACAGTCGAAAAGTAAAGTTAATCTTCTCTAAGCTTAACCTATTTCCGATTTTCTTGTTGATAAAGTAAAAAAAGAAAACCAAAAAACAGAAAAATTGTCATGTCTAGGATCATGAAGAATATTCTTAACTATCACAGCGGCCGGTGTCACACAATGCGAATTCAGCATCAATATGCAAATTTAAGTCGAATCCTTCAATTCTGAATCGCGTTGTGCAACAAGTTTTATTTCATAACTTGACAAAATAGCTCTTAATCTTTAACTAAAACATGCTTTTAGGTCTGGTTTAGGTGCCACTTTTGACAATTTTGTGATGTTTTTAAGGCATTTATTCGTGCACTTTGCTTTCTTAATTGGGTTAGTGAAATAAAGACTGATTAGAGGAAGATAATGCCTAAATAGTATTGGAACAGTAAGAAGAAGTAATAGCGGAGCTCCGCGCGCGAAGCGCGCAGCGGAGCACCATGGGTAAATGAATCTACCCATCCCAGAAAATTTGGTCATCACGTGACCGACCGACTGACCGACCGTCCGTCCGCACCACAGGCATACCAATGTTTACTCTCACACTTTCTAGCTGCTTGGGAGCCCAGGAGAAAGCTGATTGCACATCAATATTGTCATCAATTGACAGCTGTTAAAACAGGGCATCCGCTGACCAGTATCACCTGACCGTATCGCGGGCTCAGGTGTCGACCCATCAAGGAAGTTATCCGCTGACAATTTACTCGTTTTCAAATGATCGCAGGCTCACGTTTACTTTTTTTTTAAGTTCACAACAAATGTGTTGTGTTTATGTCAGTATCGCCCCGCACTATTACGATTTTGATTTCAACCTGACCTCAGACGCAAAAATTCAGCCAGTTTTTTTAAAATACAGGCGGGGAATACCTTTTCTTACCATGGTCACGTGTTGGTCACGCTCCACGTCCAATTTTTATGCTCTGATTGGTTAAAATTTTACAGGTGAATTCATGCGTAAAATTTATGCAGCATCTTGAAAGTTGTATACTTTGACAGCTGAAGCTGACAGAGTTTTGAGTCAACTTGTGATGTTTTTAACTGTCTTTTCCCACTGGATGCACAAAATGAAATACAGCTGCTATCAAGAGTGTTCTCTTATTCATGGCTGGTTTGTTTTTTGGGTTTTTGGTTGAACAATGCGTCGCTTGTCAAAGCCGATAATCCGATTTCGGATGGCATCGTTTTTGTTTTTCACCTTGCTGGATGCGTACGATAATTACAAAGGCTCAAGCGATCCTGCCTTACTTGATATCTTTCAGGAGCTGCATCTCGAAATATGGTAAGCCTGAGTAATTATTGTATTTAAATCTAATTTCATGAAGTCCAGCGGCGCAGTTTATGAAGCTAGTTTATGCACGTTTGTATTAAGATTTGACTGAGACACTGATCTGACCTCGTATGAGGTTTGATATAAGCTTAAGCTTACGGAAGTTTAAAAAGCCTTAGTCGATATTAATTCACCGTAAATAGAAAGAAAAAACTTTCCGAAGAATATTTAGTTATAATTTTGGCTGTAGAAAGAAAGCTTTGAGCGATTTTCTTGTCGTGAGTTCATCTTTGAAAACAGCCAACACCGGGAAACCGGCGGCTTAAAACATTATGTATCGGTCAAATCGAAGCTTCAACATGCCCCCCCCCCCGGGCATACCCCGGGCATTTGACACCTTTTCCGTCCCGGGGGGGAGGGAATTTGATGATCAGAGTCTTCCAGGGGGTGGGGAATTTGATCCCCATGCTTTAGGGGTGGGGAATTTGAACTGCACCCTCGATTTCATGTGAAATCTTCGGCGTAGCGAGCTATGGGGCGACGCGGTTTTAGAGGATTTTCGTGGAAAAGATTGTGCCTTTGTGGCCAATTGGTTACGAGGAAAGGGCTTAAACAAGCTTTGTGGCGTATTTGAAGTATTTAAATTTTAAAATTTTTAATATTGGATTCAGGCTTTGAATGTATGAATGTATTTTATTGTTGTGTTTACAATGAAATACAATACCTATACCGGCGATTCAATACAACAACATAAAATAAAATAAAATAAAAAGCTCAGGTCAACTACTTTGACCTACTGCAAGTATGTTACTTAATAAGGTGAGCGATGATGCATGATGTAGTAATCTCAATAGCTGGGATCTTTTTTATAGAACGCTTTGTATGTTGCATGACGAAGAAAAGCTGACGTTTGTTCGTAGTAAATACACTAAAACTGTTCCTCAGTTTTTGTTATATTTATAAAGATTTTGTTCGACAACTGAAGGCGTTTCCGCCGTCCTTCTGTCAATTTTGTGCCTGTGAAATGTCCCCGGGGTGGGGGCATTTGATCACCTGAATGGACCCCAGTGTAGGGCATTTGAACGGCATTTTGGCCCGGGTAGCGGGGAATTTGAACAATAATTTTCAAAAAAGTCAAATGCCCCGGGGGTTGCCCGGGGGGGGGGCATGTTGAAGCTTCGATTTGACCGATACATAAACTTTAAGCTTACTAGTAAAGACTTGAGGATTCTTAGACACACTTAAATACTCATTTGTTTTCGTGAATGAAAATTGTTGTCTCTGTAAATGTTCTATCGAATTATTTTTCTTTATTGATTTTTGGTAGTCTCAAAAGTGTAATTTTCATCGCTTTCCCGTTTGTTTTCAGCCGTTCATAAACATCGCTTGCAGGAGTACTCAAAATGCCAAGCGTATCAAACGCTTTTTAAGATTACACATCGTTATAAAACCGTTAATAAAAAATAGACTCAATAAATTCTTTATCACGTTGAAGCGTAACTCTTTTAAAATTTCTTCGCAAATTTAGCGCTTGTCAAAAGTTAGAACCGGCTGGCCGTATAGGTGATTTTGGAACTTTTTTGAACGGTTTCGCTAATTAAAAGTCCACGCGTGCTTCGATGGTCCTGAATATTGAATGAATGCAATTTGTCTTCAAAAATTGTGAAATACTGCATTTTGTACGAGGTCTGTATGATAAAAGCAGCGCCTTATAGTACTCTTTCTCCTCAGATGTGGTGTATAAAAAAGAATAAAAGATTGGTTTGCACGCACCCAGATTTATTGGCAAGAATTTGTATAAACTTGTCGAACGCAAAAAATTCGGTCTGATTTGTTTTCCACACCTTATCTACTGTGATCAAGAGCCATTATTGCTCTTAAATGTGACCGAAGACTATTTTTTGGGTGTATATATAAGGCTATGTCAACTCGATACAAGATTTGTTTCACTCCAAAATCACTTAGCTTTTCCCTCAAAAGTCACATGAATGTGCCCTTAAGTTAACGGATTTGTGGAATACAGAATTATTGTTTGATTTAAGTTATAAATTTATCAATGGGAGCTTCGCTTTTAGCTGTGGCTAAATCTATATATTATGCTTCCAAATGAGTGCGAACGGTCTAGGAATTGATGACCCGAAGTACTTTTAAACGATCGTTGAAAAACCTGTAAAACGGCATCTAAAATTTCCATATTTTAGCCGCTAACGGTCGTCCAGCAATGAAACGCTGGGAATGGCAGTAAAATAATCAATTTCCTCATTCTAACTGCAATTTCGTTATTAGGATGGATAGTAGTATTGATGACAAAGATACAAGGCAAAAGTTTTTTTCGAGTCCGAAATCGAGTGAAACGCTTTTAGGGAGACTGCCTCTTAATTTCATTTACGCGAGACAACTCAACCTCTCGCAACTTCGTCGCTCGCTTCGCGGCCTAAAAAGCTCGCCCGCTTACTGAGAAACTCTCGTGAGGTCGACTTGTGGCAAGTCTAAAGCCCCTTCCCCCCTCCTCTTCCCCCGCCTCCCCTCCCACCCTTCTATAACTTCAAAACTGCTCATGATACGGGCACCAAAATAGCACAGAATAATGTACTCATTTTTTCCAACATCTCAGAGCCATAACTTTGATGGACATATTGACGGAATTTGATGTCATTATGACGTTATATTGTTGAATTTTTTAACAGAATGCAAATTGCATCAATTTTTCCCCTCTAAGGGAAAAATACCTGAATAGAAAGTAAAGCGTGATTTAAAATAGTTATGATATATTTGATAAGATATTACTAAGTTAACTGTAACACTTTTATTCAATAAGTAAAAATGGAAATAAATCCATCCTTTTTCTGCGGGAAAAAGGCTTATTGCAAAAAATTGGCTGTCAAAACTTGTTGCCATGGTAACGTAAATATTGATGAACACGTGATCAGAGTTTAAAATATTCCCAGATAATTTTAAGGAGAAATCACCAAGATTTGGTGGTCATACATGTAGCTCTAACGGTTTTGAAGTTACCCATTTTTTAGCAAGCTCTTCCCCGGTCTGAATAGGGTTAACACAGCAGCATGAGTAATGATATTCACTATTATAAAATAACTAAGATAGTACGCGCGCTATGATTGGTCGAGAGGAGTGTTTGCATGAGAGCATGTAAACATAGTTGTGGCGTCAAGATGTTTTGCTTTTCTCGCGCTAATCACGCAAGCACAAATTTGAAAAAGTTTTGAAGTTCAAAACTCGACAAGTTTACTTTATTTACCCATTCCTTCGTCGGCTGAAACTTGGAAAGTTACAAAGAAGGTGTGTCAATTTTTTTTCGCTTAAGCTGACATTTTAAGCGAGAAAAATCCGAATTTTGGAACGCATCTTTTTGCAAAACAAGAACTGATTACGCTTGCAAGACTTCGTGTATAAGACTTTGCGACTGGTAAGAATTTCTCTTTTAATCAGGACCGTAACAAAGGGTTTGTGTTTTTTCTCGGGAGAGTTATTTTATAAAAGCAGTAGAAAACTTTTTTCCTGTGTATGCATTGAAGAATTCTCGACCGTTATGCAAACCCTCGACTTCGTCTCGGGTTTGCATAACTTTCTCGAATTCTCCCAACCTCTCTCGTGTTTATATCAGGCTATGCAAGCGCGGAAAACGTTTTCTATTAATTGCTTAAATATAAACGTCATGATTTTTTTCGAAATTGTATTCGCTTGAGATAATATATGACGTTTTCACATGATGGCAATCAGTTTTTGATGTCCTTCTATGGAAAGTCTAGAGGGGCTAAAACGTCAGCTCCTTTGATCTATTTAAATGTTCTTGTTTTGAACAGTGTGTTTTACACTATTACTTGAGGATCTTTCTATTGATTTGGATTAGTTTTGGCCTTATACCTTCTGGCTTTTTAAAACGTTTCTAACGTAATCAAAATCGTCTTAATTAACTTTCATGACCTTAACTCTCAGAGAAAAAGTGTAGTCCCAAATAAAAAAAAGTGACTGGTGGATGGTTTGAATAGGGTTAGGCTTACTGGATCCTTTAAAGATGGAAAAACCTTGAAATGTACCTGATTTGATGACGAAGTTATCAGCTTGGGGATTTTGCATTCCTCTTCACGATAAAAACCACCGCCTGTTTGCTCCATCACATCAAAAGCAGAACACATTTTCACTGTTGGTACTCCCAAGGTAACTGTTTTCTTTTCAGTTGACACGTCATCCTGAATGGTTCAGTCATAAAGTATCACTTATGATAGAAAGGTGGTTGTTTAAGGGCAAGTAACGGTTGTTTTTTAATGGTGTTACGCATATAAAGTGAACTTCCGAGTCATTTCGTTCTAAAACATGACCTTTAAACCTAAAAGAATCTTAATTTCAAGTTCTCACAAACTTCTTATATATGGATTGATATCAATCAAAAAACCAGACAATCTCACAATTTCCATAAGGGGCTAGCAGCTAGTCGATCGGAATATTTTCTGTAGTTTTTAAAAATAGATTGCTTTTTTTGTAAGGTTCAAAAAGTGGTATATGTTTGCTTCAATAAGCATTCACATGTTCTCTTTGCAATTATAATTCTTGTAACACATTAAATAAAAGAGTTGTCTCGGTTAATTAAAAGAAAATTTTAAATATTTAACAATATTAGCCTTATTTCAAAATAGGAAGTTCATAGAAAGAATTTAAGTTATATTTCAAGTAGTTGCTATGTACCTGATCGCCAATCACGTTCGTGTTCCACGTTGGTGTCCCAGCATACAGCTCTGTCTCTTTAGCCGCGGCCCTTGGTGTGACTTTTAGCATAGAACTGCTAATCTAATCAACCCGACATAAAAAAAAGGAATCAATAAAGCAAGACATCGTGGTACATATATATATATATATATATATATATATAAAGCTTATAGCAACATTAGCAAAAAATGTAATCTTTGTCTTTATGAAAAGTTTATCATCATTTGTAAAAAAGAGCTTTGTAGCCTAAACAGGCGACACGAACTAGCAAGTTCATGCCCCACAGAAACAGATATGTACTTCAGAACTCTAGAGTAACGTAACTAAGACACAATCCATCTGTTACCTAGATACTATCTCTTAACGCATCCCTATATTTACTGCCAGCTTTTAATTTTAACGGTCAATCGTTGAAGTTGCCTGATGAGTGTGGTCCTACAATTTCGGACCATACGAAACAGCACTGTCGCAATAAACGATCAATGATTACTCCTGAAGCCTGAACTCCTGTGATTATTAATAATCAATGCTCTTCAATTAAATGAATTGAGCGCTCTACGGAATACGTTCTACCCAGAATACAAGTATTTACATAGCTCCTGCCCTGCAGTTGAGCGCTGTCAAGAATGAATTTCCAAGTGAAGGACTTCGAGTATTCAATGAAGAACATCCCGCTGGCAAGTAAAAATGCGTTTCTTCAAACACTAATTGCTAAAACAGAATCCTTAATTCAACGTATGCGCTGGAAAGCCTTCTTTTTTCTCAACAAGAACACTGATGACGCTACCAAAGAAACTTACGGATTTAAATCGAAACGGTCTCCACCACACGTAAAAGAGCTCAACGAGTTTGAGGACTGCATACTTGACATGATACAGCGAGTCGAATTCAAAACCAACACCCACCCTAACGATCTTCAGAAAAAGCTCAGCAAAGACGCAAAGGAAATAAAGGAAGAGAAGAACATCTTCGTCAAAGCAGACAAAACGACTAACTATTACAAGACTGAACCCAACGACTACATGGCACTTGTAGACAAAAACGTCACGAAAACATACAAGAAGACAAACCCAAAGGTGCCGGACATGATCACTTTAAAAGACAAGATAATCGCAGAAAAACTGGAACTTGCAGACCGCATTGAGGCCTCAGCGCCCAGAGACTCATTCATAACGCTAAAAGACCACAAACCTGATTTCATAAATAACCCGACCTGCAGACTCATTAATCCATGCAAATCCGAAATTGGCATCATCAGCAAAAATATCCTCGACCGAATAAACCACGAAATCACACAAGCGACTAAAGTGAACCTGTGGAAATGCACCAAAGAAACCATAGAATGGTTTAAAGATATACCGGAAAAGGAAAAACACGCATTTATCACCTTTGACGTCTGCGATTTTTACCCATCCATATCTGAAGACCTGCTACTGAAAGCATTAAACTATGCCTCACGATTCACCACCATCACACAACAAGACCGCCACATCATCACTCACGCGAAAAAGTCACTCCTTTACCACCAAAATTCTCCATGGACCAAGAAGAACGCAAACAACATGTTTGATGTCACCATGGGCTCTTACGACGGAGCAGAAACGTGCGAGTTAATAGGCGCCTACATGTTATCCTTGATAGCACCAAAATTCAAAAATGAAGTTGGTCTGTACCGAGACGATGGCCTCGCAATTTGCAAGGCCACTCCAAAAGAAATTGAAAAAAACCAAGCAAGAAGTCTGCCAAGTGTTCAAATCCAATGGCCTTAAAATCACAATCGAAGCTAACAAAAAGGTCGTCAACTTTCTTGATGTGACCTTCAACCTCACAAACGGGTGCTACAAGCCATTCATGAAGCCTAATAATAAACTGTCCTATGTCCACCGACAGAGCAACCACCCCCCTGCACTACTAAAGAATATCCCACTCAACATTAACAAAAGGTTAACTAGCATCTCATCCAGCAAAGAAGTATTTGACGAATCTGTTGCCCCTTACCAGAAAGCTCTAACAGAAAGCGGATACGACCACAAGTTAGCATACAACCCCCCACAAGAGAAAGCTCCGAAAAACAAAAGAAAACGAACAAGAAACATCACATGGTACAACCCTCCTTTCAACTCAAACGTCAGAACTAACCTTGGAAGAAAATTTCTGCACATCGTCGACAAATGCTTTCCAAAAAACCACCCACTCCACAAGATTTTCAACAGACACACGCTAAAACTAAGCTACTCATGCATGCCCAACATGAAATCTGTCATCTCGTCACACAACAAGTACGTTCTTTCAAATTTCAACTCACCAACGCAACAACCTGACACCTGCAATTGCAGAAAGAAACCAGATTGTCCACTCGAAGGAAAATGCCTCCAATCAAATGTAATCTACCAAGCCACTGTAACTACAGCGACGACAACTGAAACTTACGTCGGACTGGCAACAAACTTTAAGGAACGTTACAGAAACCATCAGTCCTCCTTTCGACGCTCAAACAGAAGAAATGAAACGGAACTATCAAAATATATTTAGACTTTACAAGACTCTAACAAACCTTTCCAGATAAAATGGAAAGTTTTAAAGAAATGTAAAGCTTATAGCAACATTAGCAAAAAATGTAATCTTTGTCTTTATGAAAAGTTTATCATCATTTGTAAAAAAGAGCTTTGTAGCCTAAACAGGCGACACGAACTAGCAAGTTCATGCCCCCACAGAAACAGATATGTACTTCAGAACTCTAGAGTAACGTAACTAAGACACAATCCATCTGTTACCTAGATACTATCTCTTAACGCATCCCTATATTTACTGCCAGCTTTTAATTTTAACGGTCAATCGTTGAAGTTGCCTGATGAGTGTAGTCCTACAATTTCGGACCATACGAAACAGCACTGTCGCAATAAACGATCAATGATTACTCCTGAAGCCTGAACTCCTGTGATTATTAATAATCAATGCTCTTCAATTAAATGAATTGAGCGCTCTACGGAATACGTTCTACCCAGAATACAAGTATTTATATATATATATATATATATATATATATACCTGGAGTTTTGAAAACCGGGTTGCCTGAAATCTTAAGTCAAGTCCAGCACATTGCAGGCAATCTTTCAAAACTTAATTTGCTTAAAGCCCTGATACTAACCACTAACCACCATGGGCTCCAAATAACTTCCTGGACGTGACAGAAATCAGTGCAAATTCCAGAAAATTTTGGCCCAGCTAATATTTTTTAAGGGGGGCTTCCGTCAAACTAAGTGTCATGTTCTTAAACAGTCATGGGGCTTTCATCTGGTATGTATTTGGGGTAGCCTGGTTAAATTCCAGGGGGGTGGGGTTGTTGTAAAGACTATGCTTTGTGCTAGAGTGCAGATTCGCTGGGTTTTTGTACCTGGGCTTACCCCTGTCTTTCAAAGCTCAATGTCTCCCTCAAATTAAGGCGGGGTTGTGTCTGGCTGGCTGTCATGTTGTTGCACAGACACAGAGCTATAATCTGGTATGCATTTGGGGTAGCCTGGTTAAATTCCAGGGGGGTGGGGTTGTTGTAAAGACTATGCTTTGTGCTAGAGTGCGGATTCGCTGAGTTTTTGTACCGGGGCTACCCCTGTCTTTCAAAGCTCAATGTCTCCCTCAAATTAAGAGGGGGTGTGTCTGGCTGGGTGCCATAATGTTGCACAGACACGGGGCTATTGTCTGGTATGCATTTGGGGTAGCCTGGTTAAATTCCAGGGGGCTGGGGTTGTTATAAAGTTTGATGTGTTTTTGCACTCTTATGCAGTTTGTTTGTGCTGTTTGCATGCAAGCAATGACCCACTCTGTTGCTAATGTTCCTAGTCAGCAAGCAGTTGAACTGCTGGTCTTAGGACTTGGTCTTGTTGAGCGGTGTTGCCTTAGATTGTTTTTTTCGAGACCAGCTTCAATTAAAAATGGGGTGAACTGGGGAATTGGCTTTGCAATCGGTGACACCGACACTAAAAATTGCTTCTTAAAATGCCTTATTTTCCAGATTAATAAGGAAAACTTCACTTTTGTTACTTTCAAGACAGACGATTCTATCAAATGGAGTAATCAATGTTGTTGTCTTTCAGGGACCAGATATGTTTACTGAGTTCCGTAGAGTTCCTGTGTTTTGTGTGACGGAATGATGCAGTGTGATTTCTGTACCTAGTTTTGAAGGCGTTTTCTGTGAGTCCGATCGATGTATGTTTCAGAAGTGTTATTGTCGTTACGTTTGACGGTTGCTTGGTAGATAACTGATGATTGAAGGCAATTTCCGTTAAGAGGGCATGAGTTTTTTTTGTCGGCAGTTATATGATTTGTTGTCAACAGAGTTATCTGTGGATTTATCTGTGTGTTTGGATGCATTCAGGATACGCTTGTTGTGGTTGTCGATAATTTGTTTAGTGTTATTCATGCAACTGTAACTGATCTTGATGGTATTGCGGTTGAAGATTTTTCTGAGTTTGTTCTCTTTAGGGAAGAGTTTGTCTACTAGGGCGAGGAATCTGTGACCGATGTTGGTGTTGACGTTTTTGCTGAATGGGGGGTTGTACCAGAGGATGTTGTTGCGTTGTCTGTTTCTCCGTTTAGCAGTTGTGGTCGGTTCGTAGTGTAGAGTGTAGTGGTATCCGCTTTCGTCGAGTGCTTTTTGGTACGGGGGGGTGGCTTGGTCGAATGATGCTTTGTCCGATGAAAGGGATGATAGCCGTCTGTTGATGCCGGCGGGTATGTTCTTTGTGGTGATCGGTGGGTGGTTGCTCTCGCGATGGACGTACTGTAGCATGGTGTTAGGCTTTGTGAAGGGCCGGTAGGTGCTGTTGTTAAGGTTAAAGGTGACGTCTAGGAAGTTAATGATCTGTTTATTGGCTTCAATTGTGATGCGTAGTCCATTTTGGTTAAAGACACGGCATATTTCCTTCTTGATGTTTTCTGTTTCTCTCGGTGCGCCATTAGAAATGGCTAGACCGTCGTCTCTGTAGAGCCCTATGTTGACGTCAAGGTGTTGTAATTGTGAAAGCAGGAAACTTCCTACTAGCTCACATGTCTCAGCGCCATCGTAGCTGCCCATTGTAACGTCAAATTTTGTGTCGCCCTTCTTTTGCCATGCTTGTTGCTTGTGTATTAGGATTGAGTTCGTGGCATGTATGATGATGTTTCGTTCGTCGTTTGTGATGTTGTCGTAGGCTGAGGCAAAGTCGGATGCTCTCGTGATTTTGCTGTTGATTCTGTCGCGGGTTACTTTGCTGATTCTGCCTATCTCGGATTTAGTAGGGTTGATTAGTCTACAGGTCGGTTTGTTAGCGGAGTTCGGTTTGTGTTCCTTCAGTGTTATAAATGCGTCCTTGCTAGCAGTAGTGTCTACTCTGTCATCGATACCCAACTTCGGGGCAATTTTTTTTGTTTTCTGTATGAATGTCTCGTACGGTGTTAGGATGGGCCTTTTTGTACGACTTATTGATGTTTTGCTCTAGCAGGTCGTTGTACTTTGACGGTTCTAGTTTGTAAAAGTTCGTTGTTTTATCAGCGGCAATGAGTAGCTTGGTTTCTTTTTAATGTGTTCAGTGTCGTTTTTGAGTTTGATGAGAAAAGGGTTGTTAACTTGTATGAATTTCGTCGATTGTACCATCTTAAGCATGTCGTCTTCAAATTCCTTTAGCTCGTCGACTGAAGGAGGGTTCTTGGTAGACTTGAAGCCGTATGTGTCTTTGGAGGAGGTGGATACATCAGGGTTGAGGAAGAAGTACGCTTTCCAGCGCATTCTTCGTAGAAAGTGCTCGGTTTTTTCAATTAGGCACTGCAAGAAGTCGTTCTGCGATGGGAGAGGAATATTCTTTGTGGAGTATCCAATGTTGAGTTTTTCCATTGCGGATTATCGTAGAGTGCTCGACAATTATTAGATTGGAGCGGATTAGGAACATTTATAACATTGAAATCAAATCCTCTGCACAAAATTCTCAACCGGAACACTCTCAAACTTAGCTATAGCTGCATGAACAACGTAAAAGCCATGATCTCGAACCACAATAAAGCCGTCATTAGCAGGTCATCAAACTTACCAGTTCAAACTATCAACACTTGCAACTGCCGCGACAAAAGGTCCTGCCCTATGGACGGAGATTGCAACGAGCCGAATATCATATACCAAGCAGAATTCACGACATCGCACTCGAAGCAAACTTAAATTGGTCTTTGTGACACATCATTCAAATCGCGTTACAAAAACCACACTTGCTCCTTTGGAAATGAACGTTATAGAGATTCCACTGAGCTAAGCAAGTATGTATGGGGCTTGAAAGACAAGAAAACTGACTACCAAATTAGATGGCGGATCATTAGACATGCAAGATCCTATTCAAATGTAACCAAGAAGTGCAATTTATGTCTGTGGGAGAAGTACTATATAATTTGTAGACCGAATATGGCGACCCTGAACAACAGAAATGAACTCGTATCAAGTTGCAGACATGCAAAGAAATTTCTTCTAAATAACGTGATTATTTAAGCCTGTAAGACGTATTTCATTTTTTCCTTTTCAGCGGTTTACTGAAAATTGTTTATCCGTTGCTACGCAACCCAGCCTATTATGAATCGCTACCGTTTTTTTCAAAATCACTCTAAATCACTATAAAACACCATGCATTGTTTCTTTTTGGCAGTTAACTAATGATTGCTTCTCATGAAGCATGAAACTCTGAGTAGCAAGTAAATGTTTTTGACCTAGTTCAAGTCTACGTATCTCTCTCTCTCTCTCTCTCTCTCTCTCTCTCTCTCTCTCTCTCTCTCTCTCTCTCTCTCTCTCTCTCTCTCTCTCTCTCTCTCTCTCTCTCTCTCTCTCTCTCTCTATATATATATATATATAATTTGCACGGGCTCTCTTGCCAAGAGAAGGTGTCTAGGTTCAGCATGCTTCTCATTCCCCGTAACGGAACCTCTCTTGCGGTTTCGCACTGGAAATTAAGGATGGCACTTATGGTTGAGTACCGATCCAGCCGTCTCAACCAAAACAAGCCATTTTCCGGACCGGTTTCGACTTTACTGTCTTCTTCAGCGGAATTTTACAGTTTCTGCTTGTCCGGTCGCTTACGCGCCGTTGGACTTATTGCATTAACTATGTGTCCAACGGCGCGTAAGCGACCGGACAAGCTGAAACTGTAAAATCCGCTGAAGAAGAAACCGAAACGGAAAATGGCTTGTGACATTGCTGCATTTTTCCTCTGTCGCGTAGGGTATCTTTGCCTCCCGCACCCTTGTTCTAGTAAGTTGCTGATAAAATTATATTTCGGTCAGTGCGCAAATCGTGTAAAGTGGGCTTCAATTAAAACACTCCGATAGTTCAACTGTTTCATCACAGAGTTGAGACTACCCTGCGAGCAAGCTCTCGATTTGGGGGATATCGTGAAAAGTAGACGCGCGAGAGGCACGCGAGAGGAGATTCTAAAACCGGAGGCAGGGGAGAGAAAGGCCCCTCGGCCCCTCGCTGCTTCAGCGCTTGTTCGCGCGTTCTCGTGCAGCTAGCTTCGCTCGCCCAAAAAAAGAGAGCTTGGTCGCAGGCTAAGTGGAAACACAATGTTCGCGCGCCAGACGCTTTTTTTTTTTATCTCCACTTTTCTCTTACATCATCCAAGATCCTTTTGGCCAGCATCATATTTGCGCTGTTAGGTCTGAGGCAGTGTAAGTTCTCCCTTCTGTTGTTTCAAATGAAAGTTTGGGATCATCGGTTGGCATTAAGTTCATCCTCATTCACGTCCACAGCACATTTCTTAGCATCTAAGCATTGATATTCACCCTTCTACCTCCTTATCTTCTTGGAATCGCACAACGGCTGCAATTTGGAATCTTTCATTCTTAAAGCTGACTTGTTCCTGGTTTCTTTGTAGATCGATGTTTGCCACTTCCTTGAGCCCGCGGCCACCAACTGAACGGGATGTGTAGAGCAAGGTGTTAAGGTGTTGGGGATGTCTCACTTCCCTCTCAGTTAAGACACGTTTGATTTTCAAATCAACCTCACTAAGTTCTTTGTGAGAGAAGTAAAGCACTGGCATAAAGAACGTGAGTTCCGGCAAGAAAAATGTGCTGATGGCGTTTACATTGTTCTGGTAGGGCATGTCGTGTCTAAGATTACACTGACGCGTCGGATATCTTCTTTTTCAGTTGTCCTTAGAACAAATTTGTTTCCTTGTCTCTCAGCTTCTTTCACACGAAGAAGCTTTAGTAAGGCTGTTGCCTAGGTCTTCAATCATCACGTCATCTGACGGTCGCAGAGCAACGTCGCAGACCAACGTCTTTCCTAGCCAATGAAATGGTTTTGGTTTTCTTGGCTGCCATCGATAAGCCCATATCATCTATCATCTGGTTCGTTAGCGCTACTTTAATCCCTTGCTGTCCCTCTGAGCTAGAATAGAGCTTAAGGTGGCGAATGAAAAAGGCGTGAGATATGCTACTGTCCACTGGCTTAAACAACTTGTACTCTTGTAATTTCCACGACATGATAAAGGAGTAATGGGAAGAGGGTGTCTCCTTGGTATATCCCTCGCTTAAACTGGATTGGTTCTATCAGTGATAGACTATTTCAATTGCTCTTATGACCTCGTCGACCGAGACTTCAACTTTTTGTGTGACCTCCTCCTCCTGTCTGACCCATACCGTCGTCGACCTCTTTAAACCAATCTGCATAAAGATTCTCTTTAGCTTCAGTTTCCCATAATCCTCTCCAATACGAAACAACCTCATCAACATTTTCATAGTATGTCTGTTCTTTCTGCTGTTCAATTGACTGTTCATCCTGTGACAAATGCGGGATGTCCTGACTTTTCTGTCTATCCAAGCTTTTGGTAAGGAGCTTGTACACAGATCCCGAGTCATTTTCGTAGGCGTTGCCCCATTCTGCTGAAGTCGCCGAGCTTTTAGTTGCTTATTCCTTTGAGACAGATTTTTGAAGGACTATTTCAAAAACGAGTGCGGGGGTTTCATTAGGTTTCCAAACGCCAGAAATTATTTCACATGGTTTTATTGTTTTCGAGCGTTTGAAATTAATTTTCCACCAAAGAAAATTAGTAGAAATTGTCATTTTAAGAAGTTTTCTGAATTCAACCACATTTTATTTGAGATGTGGGCAGACGGTGTACTTAGTTAGTGCCGCTTGCTGGTGTGTGATATTATTTCATTTGCACTGAATGCCACGTTGTTACTTAGCTTTTTAATTTGTGACTTCCAAGCAAACATGTTGCTTCGCAATACAGATGGCAGAGTACAGACTTTGACGTCTCGAAACTTGCGAAGAAGAACAAGAAACGTGTGTGGCCATGCAGTGCTATACCTAAGTCTACCCGATATAAAAAGCAAATGGGCGGCTGGAATTTTTGATGATCGGCGAAAAGCTCGATTTCCTAAAGTCGCAACGTTGGAACCGGGTGATCTCTTTAAACATTATGATCTGCACAAAGATTAGTCCTTGGAAGCTAGTTTCGTTACGAAACTAGCATCCAAAAAAAAAACTAACTTCATTACTAGCGAAACTAGCTTCATTACTGGCTGACAAAGTTTATCCAAGAAGTTGCCAAACCGTTAAAGGAAAGATATCCAGCCAAAACGTTACACCAGATTGTGTGGAAAAATACGTCGTTTCATCGAGGTAGAAAGTTTTTAATCCTCTCGATGCTTCGGACAAAAGTAGTGTTTTTTTTTTTATATGTGACACTTGTCATTACTTATTTTGATTCTCTGATACTGTTACATTGAACGGTTAGCAGTAAATTTAAAGGTTGCTCTAAAGTGTATTACAACTCTTTGATTGAATTAAGGTTTTCATCTCCATGAGTTGGTCTCTCACTCCACACCATTCCCAGATTCCACTTTCTTGAATAGGATTGCTGTTTTCTGCAATTTCAGACAGCATATGTTGTTCCTTCATGTGATCTCTCAGAGTTTTAGAGACTCTTTCTGCTTTTGCAACTCTATCGGACAGATTCTGTGCAAAAACTTGCATCTGCAGATGTTCATAGCCCATCTCGTTCCATTTCCGAGACATAACATTCGGAAGCCCTCGTGTCTGTTTGTTCTATTTCATCTGCACCTGCGCTTCTCTCTTACAACGTAATAGATCCCTTAATATTGTGGAGTCCAATTCACTTTCCTTTTGCCCGAACTATTAATGTTAATTTTTCTTTCTTTCTTTCTTTCTTTTCCCTTTTAACTTCAGGTTCCGTTTCATTTTGAAGAAGATCATCGCGCCGAATGCTTATTGTTCTCGGGACATTTACTTCTCGTTTCACAAAGTGGGTAGACCTGCAAGGTCATATTGCGCGCAGTCATACATAGACGCACTATGAAAGCGCTTCAACCATTGGTTGACGAGAATGAACGACGACGCTCATTAATATGAGATTAAGATGGTAAACCTGGCGTGAGCTGCGAGGTGCTCCTACTCAAACGACAAGCCACTCTGCAAAGTTCTAATCACGTGCTTTTCTCGCTCAGTGATCACATTCTGTTATTTACTCTATCACGCATGCGAATATTACTAAATTGGTAGGTACATTTTGTTTTAATGGAGATACGTATGCTCATGCACGTGATCTGCGGGAGTATAAGAAAATGAATTATATTGTAATCTATATAAAATGAAATCCAAGAAAAGTTATTGCTTCGAGGAAATAAGAGTTAACCGCCACTTGGTTAGCTCAGTTGGGAGAGCGCCGGTCTGCTGAGCGGGAGGTCGCGGGTTCAAACCCAGGCCGGACCAACACTTGGGGTCTTTAAATAACTGAGAAGAAAGTGCTGCCTTTGTAATGACATCTGCAAATGGTTAGACTTTCTAGTCTTCTCGGATAAGGACAAAAAACCGTAGGTCCTGTCTCACAGCACTTTCACTGATCTGTTCTTGTGGGACGTAAAAAAACCCGCACTACTGTTCGAAAAGAGTAGGGGACGTAGACCCCAGTGGTGTGGCCAACCTTAACGGGTTGTGGGATTGGGTAGGGATGGCACCTTGCATGGGACCTATGAGTCCCATTCGTGCCTATTCCCTCTGGGCAGGCCCATGTCCAGAAAAGCTTGTAAAAACTAAAAAAAAAAACTAATAACGTAAATGAACTTACAGTATGGCATAGTATTCGCGCATTTTCTTAGAGAATTGCCAATTGTTTCTTAGTCAACAGTCAACAGTTGCAAGTTATAAGCACTGCCGATCGTAAAGTGTATATTTTTCTTCCGTTAATTATTGCCCAAATCAAACACTAGATTCTGCCTTGCTGCGCGTCTTCAATTACAAATCTCTGAAGACAAAAAAATGTGGTAAGAACATCAAAAAGGAAACCATGAGGCGAACGTTTTTTCCCTTTCGATATTAACCACATTTCCGTGTGATCCTAAAAATGAACAGAGGCATTCATTATCAGTTGGTAATTATTTTTGATACCTGAGCTCTTTTATGTCGAAGCCAGTGAAGCAAATCTCCATGAGCGATATACTCTACCATGAGTAGAATTGGTTTAGTTGTGGTCCAACACCCAAAGAAACTCAGAACATTTTGGTGCTTCCCAACCTTCTTCATGAGCTCTATTTCATCCATAAATTCCTTTTTATCTTCTTCGTTAGCATTTTCTGGGGACAAAAAGGATAGGTGGGTACAAAAAAGAAAAACAAATCATCGATCACCGTATCTGCGGCTTCCATCAAAGTGAAATACTCGTTGGGGCAAACATAACAACATGCAAGTCTCGATCGTCCCTGGATCTCTCGGATAGTGAGTCCTTACTGATTTCTACTGTTGCACATATCCACTTTTAGTATATACGACTAGACATTCCATATTGGAAGTGAAGCGTTGTCCCATGAAGAAAGAGCAAGGGCTTGAACCGGTAGTAAATAATCTATTTTATCTCAGTTGTGGATATCACATCGTCTTCAAGATTGTAAGATTAAAAAGGGAGAGAGTAAATTAATGATTTTATAAAATATAACATGGACCACCTTGAAATTGAATTCTATTGTATTTTGAAGCTTGTCTTATATCTTCAGCATTATCTTCATGCCTATTCTTTAATTGAAATAGTTTCAAATAATAACAAATACAGAACGTAATGAGCTATAACGCACAAAAATTTTAATCAATAATCAACAAGCATTAATACATGTCAATAATATATCATCCGCATATTTTTAAAACAAACACCGCCGGGACTGGTCGGTATGGAAACTGCTAACAAACAGTGAACAAAACTTCCCGACAAATCAAGTTCTCTGACGCTTTCAAGAAAAAAAATAGGTAACCTCCCTGTGAGGGCAGCAAAAACAGTGGCCGGGCTCTGATTGGCTACTCAAACTCAGCTAAAAGCTACTTAAAACTGGTGGACGTCTTGATCGGGCGTTTGTTTTGGAGCTCTCTGTGTGTGTTCGATCTTTACGTGCATCTGTATTTTTAAAATATTCAAATGTAAACAGCGTACGCTCTCTAGATGAGCCCTTAAGGCTCTTAGAGCAGATATTGCAATAAATATTTTTTTTTATAAAAAGGAAAAAAAAACTTCAGAAGATTCAGTGCTATTCACTGACTCACCTCCGAGTCTCCGAGCAACGAGTGACACTAGACTCGCTTAACTCCTGGTTTATTCAGGCTACCGTAACAATTTTTACAAATAAACGAAGAAGCTATTCCCGACAACACGAAGAAGGCGACGAAATTCAGTTTGGCAGTTTTTCCAGGTAAAGTTTGTCTGAATATTTATCGATGAAACCGGCAAAAAAGTTTTTTGTTTACTAATGAATATTATATCTTGCGGTCAGTTTACACAGCTGACATCACAAATAATCATAAAACGTAATTATTTTTTTACAGAAAAGTTTCAAATACAGAAAGAATTTACAACTCCCTTTCCATTAAGAAATTTACTCGCAAGGGCAAAACAAACGCCTTTAAAAGTCTTTATTTGTCGGTGAGAAAACGTGACCGCAAGGTCACTGACGCGCCAAAATTGTAGTTGGCAGTAATAAATGATCAAAAAAATCATCATTTTTGCTCTCAAATATCTCAATGTTTGAGTACATTTTAACGCGGCTCGGTAAATACCACCCCACTAGGCACGTGAACCGCCTTTATTTCAGTGAAACGAGGCTTTGGTTAACAGATGCTGGACGTCACTTTGCAACAAGAAGCAAAAAGCTTAAGTTGCTACACGTGAACTCACCAAAAAGCTCTTTGACTGCAACAATTCTCTGCTTTCTTGGCTTGCAAGCCCAGTCTCGCTCGTCTTCAAAGTAGGCCATACCGTCCATTAGTGTCGCTTTGTGAACTTTTCCAAATGCTCCTTCACCCAACAATTCAAGAAATTCTGTTCTGACTGGAGGAATTTCACAACCGACCAAAACTTGGATGTCCTTTGCAGTCCTATAATGTTTTTAAGAAATGGATTATTTCAAGAACTAGAACACCCAATAAAATCGGCAGATAGAAAAATTGGATCTGACAAAATTTAAGCCTCGTTGGGTCAACAGATTTCCTCACCCATTGTCTTCAGATGCGTAGTTTCACCTCGCAGCTCCGCTACAGTTATATACAATACCAAAGAAATATCCCTATATAAATTATAAGGCCCAACACGCCCAAATAGATGAGAAGGCTTATGTGGACGCACGCATAACGATGTGATTGGTGTATATTGCATATTTTTAAATGAAGAAAAAGAGGAATGTTTAAAGCAGATTTTACACACCTCTTAGTCGAGCGGTTTCCTCTCTTTCTGTAAGAATTGATGCACACCACCAGCAGTATAGCTCCCAGGATTGTAAGTAAACCAGCGAAGGTATAAATGAGAATAAATTCCAGAGAAATACCTGTAACTTTAAATATAACAATTTTCCACTTTCAGTGTCTTCATTGGCTGTTATGCGGGACGTTTCTAATTCGTGATGTTTGATGTTCAATTGTCGTATTGTATATTCCTCTCCCCCATAAAATCTCTTTACTTATTGTATAATAATTATTATTATTATTAGTAGTAGTAGTAGTAGTAGTAGTAGTAGTAGTAGTAGTAGTAGTAGAAGTAGTAGCCCACACAGTAGTAGTAGTAGGATTAGTAATATTATTATAATCATTGTTATTGTTATTGTTAATAATAATAATAATAATAACAATAATGATAATAATAACACAACAATATTATTAATTTATTATCACGTCTGAGCGGTTTAGAAATTGGAATTAACATATTGAAGATAACTTTAATTAATTAACCTTACACGATTGTCACGGCCCGCAAATAGCATATGCTAACCGTGGTGGGCGGTGACAGCAATTTTTGAAAGACAAGAAACTGTATACGCATTAGTCAAAGTGTCTAAATGAATAAAAATGAATAGATAAATAAATAAAATACAAGAAAACTTCATATTGTTTCTTCCGAAAGTGACAATGCTGTAGAATATGAAGTACGACGGCGGAGCTACAATCATTGTCAAAAGTGTTGGGAAGGTTGCCTTTTTTACCTCTTCTTCTCCTTCCTCCCCCCGCCCCTGGCCCAATGTTGATGAAAACGTTAATGTTTGTGCGCGTAATTGTTCTTTTATATCCCAACATTGAACAGGGGGGACGGGGGATATTTAGCAAAAGAGAAAAGTCTCTTTTTTCAGGATTAAAATGGACTACTGTTAAGTTGTACAGCCTTCCCAACTACTTTTGTCTGTCCTGAAAATTCTGGGTGTGGCCGTGAAAGGTCAAAACTCGACGACTTTTTGTCAGTAGAAACGTCTTCAAAAAACACTCGTAAACAGTAGTCTGTTGAAAAAAAATATTTGCCGTACCTTGTTAAGACAGTTTTTGGCGCACACGCCTGTTTATATTCGGCATGTTTTGCAACCCGGTAAGTACAACTATTGCTCTTTCCGGGGCACAGGAAGAGGGCCAAAATACAAATGTAAGACTATTTTCGGTGAAAACTATTGACTGTAGCATAGGCTGATATGCTCCAAATCTTAAAGCAAGATATAGTGCGTTCACAACTTCCCGCAAAAATCATTCGGATGGCGACAGTGTAGCTGACATTTTCCTTAGCAGTTGCCCCATTCTTTACAACATTCAGCACATGCCAATTTGCCAGGAGAGCAAACTATGAGGCTGAGTGGAGATTTGCCCAATTCTAGAGGCTACTTTCTCCGGCTGAATAACTCTAGTTAAGCCCTTGTGGCACTGCTTTTCGAAACTGGTTTCAGAAAACGACAACAAAGTACGCTCTTGATTTAGAATAAAGCGTCTATTGTCTTCGTTCATCTAATTAAAAAGAGTAACACATGCAAAGTCATCACACACCACATTACTCCATTTTCGTAGCCGAAAATAATTCCTTTATAGTAGCGCTAACGACAAAATAGCCTAATTGACTTGTTCGGGGCTTTGCAAGGACTTAACCAAACGAATTTTAATCGATATTTTAGCTTAATTCTAAGTAAAGTACAACAGTACCCCATGGATAGCGTTAAAATTAAACTAACTTTGCTAATTGACCTTTATGGGGCACTATTTAAATGGAGTAATGTTGGGAAACAGTTGTTAAATTTATCTCCTTAGATAAATGCAACAAAAGCTGTCCATATTCTTGCATGATTTACATGTTTTTATCTTTTTCTTGTTTGAAAGTTGGTTCATTGTGCATATATTTCGCATTTTCTTGTGGAGTAATGTGATGGAGTAATGTGGAAACCCATGTTGTTTACTGTTCTCAAATTAACTGAATGATTGACAGGCGACGCTAGCACAGCTGATTTCTGTTTGAACACTGAACATGGCTGAATGAAGTCTTTTATAGAGGTTCCGTATAACTCTCAGGCCTTACGAAAATACAGTCTAGAAGATTTTAATTCGGCACTTATCTCACTCCTTCCTCGCAACTACAAACATCACGTTTTCCAAGGATACTTTAACACCGCCAGAATGCAAAAAAAACTTTATTGTGGCAGCCTTTATGCCATTTCTATTTGTAACATCTTTCAAAATATTTCGCTGATAGGAAACGGCAAAAGTTACCCAGGAATAATGCCGCTGATGAAAAAGATACATGTATACATGACAACGACAGCAATTGTATAGCATTTTTTGCTTAAAAATACCCTCATGACTTTTCGTTAAATCTAGTGAAACAGACCACCTGTGGCCATTCTTTCTATGTAGTCCACGCGAAGAAAACGTCTCTTGGTTCATGAGAAAAATTAAAGGCCTTAAATGTTTTCTTCTGACGTTCTTAAAAGAAAGCGTTTTCACCCAGTGCACTTTGTGGTCACGCTGTGAAATGTCACGCACATCAGATGCAAAATTCTCCTATTTATGATTTTACTGAAATATAAACTTTATTGTATTTTTTATATACTTTGGAAAGTGCATTATCAGCACAGTTCCAGGGCGAGATATCTCAATCAAATGTTGAAGGTTGCCTTTTTTACCTCTTCTTCTCCTTCCTCCCCCGCCCCTGGCCCAATGTTGATGAAAACGTTAATGTTTGTGCGCGTAATTGTTCTGTTATATCCCAACATTGAACAGGGGGGACGGGGGATATTTAGCAAAAGAGAAAAGTCTCTTTTTTCAGGATTAAAATGGACTACTGTTAAGTTGTACAGCCTTCCCAACTACTTTTGTCTGTGATTGTAGATTCAAACGTCCATCTTGCCAGCCCACGGCTGACGATCGTAACAATAATGATACTAATAATATCAATGTCATTCTCATTGACATTTCTAAAACTAGCGAGCTATTTTTGTGGAGCATTGTGTGTGTCATAGTGTTGGCAACAAGAACTAAAGCACGGAATGCCGTGATGCTACTGCGTGAGCCTGGCGGGTATGCATTGTGCTTAGTACATAGGACATGAAAACCCAAACAAGCTATCGTAGTACGTATCTGTAAAGAATAACGTTGCAGCTTCGCTTAAACTGCATTTAGGCGTTAGTAGTTGAATTCAATCTTTAAAATGCAATAGTGTTGCTGCACTAAGAAGATGATCAATAAGTGTCTTAAATATAATGGAGAGAAATTTGAGCAGGATCATTCTGTATTTCATGCGTGAGACGAATACTCAAACACCTTCTGTATGTATGCATGAAGCGTTTTTGCTCACGTGTGTAAAAGGCCTAAATTTAATAAACGACCCTACATGTAATAAAGCCCTAAATGTAATAACATTTTGTCCTAAGTGTAATAAAAGTATGCCCTAATTGTAATAAACTCTTAATTTGCCAATTACAGTAATTGCGCGCGGAGAACCACAGAATCCTCAGTGCTTTAAACAAATCTGCAAACTTGGCAAGTTGGGTTGTCACTCGGGAGCATTGCGACTAGCAAAGTCAGAGGGTAAGATTGCAGCTCCAGAAACATGACGAACAGAGGCTTGGTATCTAGTGACGATAGAGAGGAAAGTAGCAACACGAGGGCTTGAGGAAAACTCATCGCGACATAGCTTTTCAAAGGGCTGTACACAAGGTTTGTTATCAGTGAGGATACAAGCTGCTGTTTTCGACTGAATGATGTAAGGGCTGAAGTGGTTTGTTACAGCTGCAATGGATAAAGCCTCTATCTTGCAAGGGAGCCTCGTGACTTGGCGACCGCGGGGTCTGGCACTGAAAAATCCTGCTAGCTGTAGCTTATTGTTACGGCTTACGTACAGGGTAGCACCAATTCCTGGAGTTTTAACAGCACCGTCGGTGATGATCAACAATTCATCATCGGGGCGGGGGAGGGAGATGGAGCGGCTTCCGGAAAGAGCAGGCTGAGCAATTCCATTCGGGAAGGCCTGGAGGGTGCCGTATTCCCAAATCCAGCCCAAGATCACAGTAGATTTGGGGTTGATGACAGTTTTGGAAGCGGAGAGTTTAAGGAGGTTGCACTTGGAGAGGGCCTGGAGCACTCGTTTCCAGTGGTACAGTAACTCCGCTGGTGAGTCGGCTCTGCAGCATAGATCGTCGGAGATCTTAACAACAACACCGTCGTGGATAAGGTTTCCAAGTACACGACACATGAGTTCCTCCAAGGCAGTTTCTGAGTCAGGCATGCCCATCGCTGAACGGGCATGCACCCGGACCCCACGACATTTGGCTGACCAAATGGAGCCCATAGATGTTGAATTCTTGGCGATGATGTTTCTAGAGATAACAGGACAGTAATTGGCTATTTGGCCGAGCATTAACTCAAGCATGCTCACTTTTTGTTGAGCACAGTACGGCGGCTTGCTTCAGGTACCTGAAGAACCGTCATCGGTGAAGCCTCGTAGGGGGCTGTGTTAGGTCTTCTTTACCCACGTAGCTCCGCCTAAGAGGGTATACACGAGGTTTTGACGCCAATTCTCAAAGGAAGTTACTGTCTCCTTTTTTGAAAGGCACCATTGTTTCGGTGCACGCGGAGTGGCTGCCATTAGGTCAGTCAGTGTTTATTCAGCGGACGCTATCACCGACTGTTGGGTTCCGTTCGTTCGTTAGCAAGGCAAACTGTTGACTAATGATTTGTAGTGTCCGTTTTAACCGCTGCCACCACACCAGTCAACAATGTAAGTAAAAACAACAGACCACGATCCGAACGAAATGGCAGAAAAGTAACAACCAGAACAACGGTCAGAGAGCAAAGGAGTCTGGGTAAAGAAAGAGTCCCCTTGCCTAGGTGCGGGCGGCTCACTAGTCAATACCATAAAGTAACACAACTAATAATGCCTAATGGCGTAACTGTCGAGAATTCTTCCAACCCTTCAGGTGTTTATATCAGGCTATACAAACACAAGAAAAAAGTACTTTTCCTATTGCTTTTATAAAATAAATTCCCGAGAAAAAGACGAAAACTATTTGTTTAGGTTACCGATTAAAAGAGAAACTCTTACCAGTCGCGAAGTCCTGTACACGAAGCTTGTACGCGTAATCAGTCCTTGTTTTGCAATAAAGATGCTTTCCAAAATAAGGGTTTTTCTCGCTTAAAATGTCAGCTTAAGCGAGAAAAAATTGACACAGTATGTTTGTAAAGATTTTCCAAGTGTGCGCCCAGGAGAAAATGGGTAAATAAAGTAAATTTGTGGAGTTTTCAACTCAAAAACTGTTTCAAATTCGAACTTGCGTGATTAGCGTGGGAAGAGCGAAACATCTCGACGCCACAACCATGCTTACACACTCTCGCGCAAACACACCTGTCGGCCAATCAGAGCGCGTGTACTATTTTAGTTATTCTATAAACGTTGTTATCACCTGTGCAGTGGTATTTGTCTTAACATTTTAGCTAATTGAATCTCTTTTCTAGAGATCCCACGTGAATTAGCGCCGCGGCGCTTGTTAAGTTTTCTCTCTCAAATGCGGCGCTTAATTGAGGGCGGCCCTTATTCAAGTAATTACTGTAATTGGCATCTCAAGAATTTGTTTCATTTAGGGCAAATTGTTATTACATTTAGGACAAAATGTTATTACATTTAGGGTCGTTTATTACATCTAGGCCTTCTACACACGTGGCCAGCATCTATGCAAACTTGTTGGAGCAAAAGCGTTTACAAAAGAAAAGTCAGTTTAACTCCCGCAAGATTAGTTGGAACACCAACATGGCTGCCATATCTTTGTTTTGGAAAATCAATATGGTTGCCGTGACGTCATGTGAAAACGCTCTATACAGTGACTACCATTTTCATATATACCTCTTTCATTAGTCTTTAATTCTGTTACTTTCGTTGTATACGTCTTAGTAGTAAAAGGGCTCGATCCCACTTCATTCCAAGCCACAAGCTGGAACTCATATTCCGTAGAACATTCTGTCTCGAGCTTCTGGCGATTGGTATTTGCCTCTGTAATGTTTAATCTTTTCCATCCACTTTTACCTTGTCGTCTGTAGCTTATTGTATGAAATAGTATGGGGCAGTCACTTGATGATGGTTCCCGGAGCCATTGCACAAAGACAGCACACTCATTTTCATTTTCGCTCGGTATAACGTTGAACACGGGCGTGCTAGGAACATCTATAAAACACGGCATAGCAATAAGAAGCAAAACATGTATTATCATTTATGTCTCCTCCGCGGGTTTACTAACACCACTAACAATAAAACACCCCTCCTACCGACAGCACAACTTAGTTACGAGAGTCTCTAAGCTGGAAACAACCCCAACCAAAAAATTCCAGACACTAAAGAAAGCAAAAGGGGAGACACAAAGTTCTTTATTTTGTTCTAAATAAACGCATAAAGATACATAATATAAGATTCCAATCTACATCTTAAAGCTTGTGTGTATCTTGTTGTTTGTTGTTAGCGGAGCTGTCGCGCGCGCTAAGCGCGCGCAGCGGAGCACCATGGGTAACAAAATTTGGTAAACTATCCATTCAAGAAAATTTGGTTATGACGTAGCGTACGCTCGCCCACCCGTACACACACTTCATGTAGGCCGATGTCAAATGTCACAATAGATCTTGCACAACTTGACTAGCCTTTCAGTTATGTAAGCCATCCGTATGAGTACGATAAGATGGACAGCTGTCAAAATCAGACATCCGCTGACAATTATCATATGACCATTTCGAAGACTGAAAGACCAGTCGTTTTGCCGCTACATAGAAGCTGATATAATACGTCACACTTACCAATTCAACATGAAAACGAAACTACGCCGGGCAGGGCTGTCAGTCGGCTGACAAACGTTTAAAGTTATATTGGCAAGCCAAATTAAGGTCAGTTCACAGCTGTAAAAATGGGACATGTGCAGACCACTATCAGAAAACTAATAACGTGGGATCAGGTTCTCTCAGGTACACGATCTGGCATTTTCCACTACATGCCGGACGGATATGTCTCACTCACACTCGTAGTCTGTTAATTCGAATATTCGCCATTCTAATGATGGTTAATTGACAGGTGTCAAACTAGAGTATACGCTGACCATCATCTCCTGACTGTATCGCGGGCTCATTTTTCTATCCATTGAGGTCACGTAGTTTTTGTAGTTTTCCGCTGATATTTTATTTGATTACGGGCTCAATTCGAAGCCCCATAGCTTAGAAATCTATTCATCCTAGAAAATTCGGCAATAACGTGACAGTACACCGACCACCCGACCTTCCGTCCGTCAGCACCACAGGCATACCAATGTTTAATTTCACACTTTTTAGCTAGTTTGGGAGCCTGCAACCTGATATTGTACATGCATGTTTTGATTAATTGACAACTGTCAAAATAGTGTTTCTGCTGATCAGTATCGCCTGACCGTATCGCGGGCTCAGGTATCGACCCACTGAGTTCGAGAGTTTTTGAAGTTATCCGCTGACAAGTTGCTACTTTTCAAATGATCGCAGGCTCAAGTTCAATTTTTTTAAAATGCATATGAAATAAGTCGTGTTCATGAGCCGCACTTTGATTTCGAACTGACCTCGGACGCGAAAATTCAACCGGCTATTACTTGCAGGGAAGGCAATCGCATTTGACTGTTCTCACTGTCACGCGTTATTCACGCTCACGCGTCCAATTTTTTGTGTTCTGATTGGTCAAAATTTGACAGGTGAGTTCATGCGGAAAATTTATGCAGCGTCTGAAAACTTGCTTACTGATAGTTGAAGCTGACAGAGTTATGTGTCATCTTGTGATGTTTTAAACTGTCTTTTTCTACTTGATGTACAAAATGAAATACAGCTGCTATCAAGATTGTTCTGTAATTCAAGGGCTGGTTTGTTTACTGCGCTTTTTGTTGACAAATGCACCGCTTGTCAAAGTCATTGGAAATCCGATTTCGGATGGCATCGTTTTCAAAAATGAGCTTACTCACTTGCCCTTGCTTGAGGCATAAGAGGGTTGAAAAGTCTTAAGCGATTGTGGAACACTTGAAGACCTTCGGAAGCATCATCTCGAGTGGTAAGCTTGAGCAATTATTGTCTTTGATGAGTTTTTTTTTCGGTTTCCTGAAGTCGAGCGTATGGTTTATGCGGCTTAAGTTTATACACGAGCAATGAACTAACCTACAATAGTATCAGGTTCAAAAAGCCTTTAGACACTTTTTCACCGCAAATTCAAAGAAACGGTTCCGAAGAATATTTAGTTATGATTTTCGCTGTAAACAGAAAGCTCTAAGCGATTTTCTTGCCTCCAGCTCATCTTGAAGAAGAGCAAACACCGGGAAGCCGGCTCAAAACATAAATAGGCTTATGCTTACCTGACTCATGATTTTCATAGACACTTTACTCTCAATACTTGTCGTCGTAAATGAAAATTATTGTCTCTGTACATGTTTCACAGAATTGTATTTACTTCATTGATTGTTAGTAGTCCCTCTCACAATTCTTATCGCTGCACCGGTTGTTTCCAGTCGAACATAAACATCGCATGCAGGAATACTCAAAACGCCGCGCGTAAATATCACTCGCTTCTAATGATTACACATAACAAAACCATAAACAGTTTTGAAAATAAAGGGAAATAAAACCTAAATATAACAAATTCTCTATCATGTTGAAGCGTAAATGGTAACTCTTATTAATCGCACTGCAAATTTGGCGCCTGTCAAAAGTGAGAACCCGTCCGGCTGGCCGAAAGGGTGATTTTGGCAATTTTTTTTATCGTTTTCACTAAAAGCCCACAATTATTACCCTGCATATCACATAGGACCAGCTTTTTCTAACTGAAAAGCCCCGGAATTACGGATTTCTCTTCATGAAAACGTTTTATAATGTGGTCAATGCTATAATCTGTTGTGCAAAGGAAGCGTGTGCTTTGATCGTCCTGGATATTGAATGAGTGCAATTGGTCTTGTAAAATTGTGAAAAACTGCAGAATTATAAGTTTAAATAGGGCAAAAAAGAACAAATTCTGTCCGAGGTCTGTATGATAAAAAAAAGGGCCTCATAGTACTATTTACCTGAGACGTGATAAGAAAAAGTATGTTTAAAAGGCTGGTTCACAAGCTACCAGATTCGTTGCCAAGATATACTTGTAAAGTGAACTTGTCGAACACAAAAAATCCGGCCTATTTTTTATTTTGGCCTCCTTTTAGACAGAGGAATGCAACGTGTAAATTGGCTGCCACCAATGACTTTCGTGGCGCGTGTGTTTCTTAAAATTATATTTTGGGGTTGTCCAATTATCCATAGTCTCTCAAACGGAACAATGTTGCAGAGACTGGTGAATGCCACCTTATCATGCAACAGGTAATGCAAATACAATACAGGAATAGGTCTATTGGTTTTCCAGGCCTAATCTACTGTGATCGAACATGATTGTCATTTTTGGGTGTATAAATAAGACTATTAACTCGATGTAAAATTTGTTTCACTCTTGGACTGTCAAATTATTTTTCTCTAAAATCACTTAGCCTTTGCCTCAAAAGCTATATGAATGTGCACTGATCAGTGGATTACAAGTTTATTGTTTGATTTAAATTATGAATTTATTAACGGGAGCTTCGCTTTTAGACCAGGCTAAATCTATATATTATTAAATCCTAATTTCAGGCTAAGCCACTGTAAATCACTATAAAATCACCTGCTTCAGTCGTTGATACCTTTGACATCTCAGAAGGCCAACCATAACCCATTTTGTTTTGTGCTATTATTCTTACATGGTACTCGCTATTTGGCTTAAGTTGGTTAAATAGAAATGACTGAGTTGAGTGAGAAAGGTTATTCGTGGTCCAGTTAAACCATGGCAGTTCTTCAGAAGTGGTTGCTTTTATCTGTGCAAGGTATCCAGTCACTATTCCTCCATCGGCGTCACGTGATGGTGCATTCCAGGTGAAGTTGATAGAGCTACAGCCTGCTGTAAAATCCAAATGCGTAACGGGATATGGAACATCTATCAAAAGTGAAAGTGGTTTTATTCAAAACAAAACAACAAGAACAACAAAAACCTTGCATAACAACAGCAGAGAAGCGAACGTTGATTGTGGAGATCTGCTAATACCTCAAATATACCTTCAAGAAACACATCTACGCTCCTAGCTGAGCAAATTACATGTAATTATTTAGACGTTTACGGTAAGAGAAACTATGTGGAAAGTATTAAAATTTTCTGCTACCAATTTGTCCATCCTCAGTTTATGGCTACTGACCCTCACCCTAGAATTTTTTTTCCCTTATATTCATCATAATTCACTCTTAATTATTACTACTTAATTAATTATTATTATTACTTAATCACTGTTAATTATTTAGTAGATATTCATGGCCCTATGTCCAAGTTTGCACTCTAAAATTACTAAAGTCAAGTGGTAAAGAAGGTAGAAGGGTGGCCAGCAAAAGCTAGACATGCGATTTTTCGCGAAAAATGAAAAATCGCAATTTTTGCTGCTGCATGCAAACCAGGACATAAGTGCATGGCCCGGTTGTCATGGATACGAGTTAAAGTAAAGCAGGGTAACGTTAAATTATGCTATGAACCTTAAATGGAGTACAATAGTTCCTTTTCTAGGTTTTCTGAGTGCCATTGACCCATGTGAAATTGCAGTGAAACCTAGGCCTTTTGAGGAACATCACAAGCTTTTTGTTAAAAGGACTAATTACATTTTCAAAATGCTTTAAAAGGCTAAAAATCTAGGACTAGGAATAAGAATTCGCTTGTTTGTCAGAAAAATGAGGTAAAAAATATTCCGATTTCGAAGCAGGTAAGCTCATCGATCTTTGAAAGCAGGGCGGCCGCACACCATTAAACACAAACGTCCAAGAAGCAATCCAAATATTGTCCTCTATATTATTTATTCAACCAAAAAAAGTATGTTTACATTGTGCTGTTCTCACTTCCCATGCTCTGCTTGCTTCACTGCGTCCCAGCTTATTCCAAGCAAAGACAGTTACTTCATACTTCTTGCTGTGTTGGAAATGAAGCTCGAAACTTGTTAAACTGGCGTTAGTGATATTTATTTCCGTTATTTTCTCGGTGGCTGGTTGAACTGCTCTGTAGCGCAATGAATACATGGTGATGTTGCAGTATGTCTCGTTTGGGCGTGTCCACTGCACTGTGACATTAGGTGTTATTCCAGGGATTTCCGTTTCATTGTTTATTATTTCGGAAACATCGGGAGGTCCTACAATAAACTAATGAATTAGTAAATAATCTCCACAAAACAAAAGGATGTTTGTCAGTGAAGACAAATCAATTAACTGGTATAAAAGGTAAAGTAAAGGAGTAAACATATAAATGAACACGCTCAAAGGTCAACATGACACTTAATTTCATGAAAAAGGAATGCAACTATTGTGAAAAGAAGAGAGGAACTTTTGGGGAGGAATGACTTCGCATAAATAAATATAAATGGGAGCTGTTAAAGAAGTTATAACCATTTGATTAAGTACCACAACCTTTCTATATGTAATGCAAGTGTAATACAAGTGTTAAGATGAAAGACTTACCAATCAAATCCATTTTTTTGGAAGTGTGTGCCCATTGGCCCGGGCCTTTCTTATTAAAAGCTCGGACTCGAATTTGATACTCTGTCTCACTCCGCAGGTCTGTGAACAAACAGCTGTGATTTGAAAACAAGGCTGTGCAGTTGCGCAAGCCACCATTTCCCCCTCCTGACGTATGTAACTGGACCTGATAGCCAGTGAGAGGACCGCCACCAGAGTCACTGGATGGTGGATTCCAAGTGACTTCAAATACTCCACACGGTCTCTTTTTGACGCCAGGAGTTTCCAGCCTGAATGGAACGCCTACAACAAAAAAGATAGTATGTTTTATATCGAAAAATCAATGACACGTGCCATAGGTGTGTGATAAGCTTACAGACACATTGTCCGTCTTTTTGCGTTCGAGGTACGAGAACGCAACCCCTAATTTCTGTTGGGTGTTGTTGTGCATTATTGGGTGTCCTGTGCAATTAATAAGGGATTTTTTTTTAAAATTTGAGATTGCATTTGTGTCAACACACATTTGTCTCGCTTTGAGGCGCTTGCTTACGTTTTGCCTCACTTTGACTCGCTAACCCGCCTGCTTATTCGTGTGTCCTCGGGGTTCATCTTTCAAACGTTTGCTGAGGTCTGCTATGCTGTCTTCGTAAAGCGTTCATCTTTTAAAAGTGTGCTGAGTCTTCGTAAAGCGTACATATTTAAGAATTTGCTGAAAGTCTACTATCGATCTGTGTTAAATGAATCTTCCAAATTGTTTATCTTTCAAACCTTTGCTGAAAGTTTATACCCTGAGTAAAATTTTACTTTGGATTAAGCCTTCACATTTTACTTTGGAAAATGCGTGCAACTCCTGGTGCATGCATCAAACCGGCTTGTTTAGCTCGGCGTCCGTTGTAAATTTACTGGCGAGTTGTGAAGCTCGGCGTCTGTGGTGCCACAAAGTAAATCTACTGAGTTGTGTAGCTAGGCGGCCGTAGTGCCACAAAGTAAATCTACCGAGATGAGAAGCTCGGCGGCGCCATTTCAACATGACTCGTGATATTTTCGGCACTGGACATTGATATTTTCGACACTGGCCCACAGTAGCGCCACTCAAACCACTGAAGTCAGGCACTCGACCAAATTACTGGAAAAGTTATTGACGTGAGCTTTGTGGCTTTGGGTCGATCTTTAATATCATCAGAAGTTAAGGCGACTTGCCAGTAACGGTTTAATTCTACAGTAAATTTCAGTAATTGTCTACGAGTGGAATTCCCAATAAACAAAATTAATGGTTACATTTAACACTTTGTCAACTGTTTGCTTTTTAACAGAACCTGGGCCGGGTTGTCCAAAGCTGGGTTAAGATAACCCAGGCAAGGAGGGTTAGTGCAAAATTTGAAGTCAGATGTGAAAGCTTCAATTTTGTTGATTGGATGCTCTTAAAAATAACGAAGAAAAATATCCAAAGAAATGTTTTTCAACAAAAGAAAAAGCACCAGTAAGACAAAAAGTTCTTTTTACACGCCCGACGCACGCTGGCGAGTGTCTCCCCAAATAACAAGCACTTGAGACGAACCATATGATATCACGCTGATCACTAGCCTTCAAAACTTTTCCATAATGATACACAGTTTAAATAGAGGTTTCGCTGTACGCCACCCTTAAAAAAAATGCCATAATCATAGTTATCTATCGCAAGAAGCATCCGCCCTTCCCCCTCAACTGCTACCTTTACGCTTAGCAAACATATCGAGCGCACTCTCCTAAGCTCCGATTACTCCTAGCCGTTTATTAAATAAACATCAGGCTTCAAAGAATATGATTGGTTCCTAGCGAGGTCCTGATTTTCTTTTCGCATTCTACGGCCACTGCAGTAACTGCTTCATGTTATTACAAGTTTTTTTGTTGTTTTTGAATGAGCAAAAGATGCGACTTTTTTTAACATTTTTCTTTTAAATGAATCACTGGGGGAAAAACACCGTAAAAGCACATATGCTTAGAGCCAGTAAGGCTTGGGAATTATCTCTGATACCATGGGTTCATCTTCACTTATGTACCCAACAAAGCAAGATTGACCAGTGATGGTGGTTCTTTGTTAAATCCAGAGAACATGTCACAGGCTGTATGTTAATTAGGTGCTCTATATTCTAACGGGGTTGCGGGGTTGGCCTGGCCGGTTTCGCCAAACCAGCAGTCCCAACATAACTTAAAACCGGCGCAGGCTAATAGCCAGTTAGGTTACGGAAAAAAGCCAGGGCATAACATTTCAATTGCAAAAGCTTCACTTAAAACTCCACCAGGAAGTCTACATTATTAACATTCTAAGCCAATCTTGACTTGTAAATGTCGTCAACCTAGGCCAAAACCGACCTCAGTGAACATTAAAGCTAAATAGCCCAGCCCGGGTGAGGACCCTGTGAAGCCCAAGTAAATTAAGAAACAGGAACTAAACCGTACATAAACAATATAAAAAGAGTGGTCTGTAGTGTTCAAAATCTTTTTAAGCAACCGGGGTTCATAAACACTTAATTCTAATACCTTCTTCTGTTGTCACAGCTAGCAGTTTGGTATCTTTTATGCTGCTTCCACGTTCATTCCATGCCAAGACCATAATTTCGTACGTGCTGCTGCAGTTTAGCTTAAGACGATATTTGGTCTTGTTTGGCGCTAGGAGATTTGTTGTTTGCCACTTTATCAACTGGTTAGATGGCTTGTAGTGAACGCTGTATCTAGTTATCGGGCAATTGTTGTATGTCGGGGTCTTCCAAGAAAGAGCTGCATAACAACCGTCAGGCTTAGCTGATACTTCGAATGATGTAGGCACACCTTAAAGGAAAATTTCTAAGACAGTGATTCATCTCCCGGGCAGTAACTGCTCACAAATTAGTTATGCGGACCAGGGGGCTGGCAGCGAGGTCTGGAACCGAGTTTACATGATCGCCCCAGTTAAGAAATTTGGCCGGGTGAGACTGAGTACCATTTTCCTTCAAAACAAATATGGCGGAGAATGCAGACATGGAAGGGCGATTAGTTTTTGCTCGTCAAGAAAAGGTTTTCAAGAACGTTTTTAATGGAATTTTTGGACATCAGGAGGCGTGATGTATGAACAGTTCATGGGTGACTACACTTAGCGTGACGCGGCATCTCGGCAAGTTCAGTTATTTATAAGCTTCGTGAATTTTCGAGCAACCAGCCTAGTCTCCATCTCTTCTCTTTTTCCACCTACAGTGGTATTAAGAACTCTCTTCCTTATCCTAAACATATGCTTCGAGCTCACTATATTAGTATGAATCTTGCAATAGCATGGGAATGTTCATTAAACCAATTTTCTACTTTGCTGTTCGTAAGTTTCTTTGTAAACCGAGAGCCACAACAAATATTTATGGGCGAAAAAACAGAATACAGAGCCAATTTAGTACACGCCAGGGTAAATTTTCCAGTCACTTTGCTTCACATATTTTGGGTCTGTCAGTATAAGCTATTTTTAATCCCTTACCAAACCATATGTATTTTGAAACTGATTTTAAAGTATTTAAAATGTATTTTCAGTATTTGAACACTATTTTCCTGTATTTTAATACTATTTGACAAAAGAATTTAGATTTTCGCCCCTGTTTGAAATATATCTTGAGTGTAGTTAAATTGTATTTCATGTAAAGGAAAACCTCTCTCATCAATTTACAATGTATTTTGTTTAATAAATATGATTAAAATAGAGTATTTAAAATGTATTTTGGGCATGGAACCACTAACACTGTTACAAACAGAGTTCAAATAGACTATTTGAAATATCTTTTAAGGGCTTTTATGCTGACTGTAATTAAGATACTTTTAAATAGGGTACTTTAACTCTGTTTTGAGTTGTATCTAAAATGTATTTTGAGACGCATCCACTCACAAAGTTATAAACATAGTTCAAATAGACTATTTGAAATATGTTTTAAGAGCCTAAATGCTGACCGTATTTTAAATCCTTTTAAATAGGGTACTTTAACACTGTTTTGAGTTGTGTCTAAAATGTATTTTGAGACGCATCCACTGACAAAGTTACAAACAGAGTTCAAATAGACTATTTGAAATATGTTTTAAAACCTTAAGAACTGACCGCATTTTAAATACTTTTAAATAGGGTACTTAAACACTGTTTTGAGGTCTATTTGAATTGTATTTTGGGCACACAGCACTCTGACTATAAAAACAGATTATCCATAAACTATTTGAAGTCTGCTTAAAGTCATCAAATGCTTACCTTATTGTAAATACTTTAAAGTAGTGTACTTATAACTTATTATTACTAGGGTGCAATACTGTAATGTCTTTTGGGAGACTTATACTCAGACTATAAATAAAAGTAACAATTGCACAAAGTTAATTTTTAAGCCTTCATCGTGTCACGAACTCATAAATGACTCAAAACAAGCTGTCACATATTGTGGACCGGATTCTCCTCCCAACAAAGTTCGAAGCTGAGCGAAAAATCAAATCTAAATTAAATAAAAAAAGAGAAGAAAATTAGGAATAGGTTTTAGCTTTGACTGACAACACGTAACTGTGACAGTGTTCCGATAAAAGATCTATCCGTTCCTCACTGTTCATTACCTGCAAGCTCTCTGCGAAAATCTCCGCGTAGATTTTAGCCGTGATTCAATTAATGACTTTCCATAAGTTTTTTAAAAGAAACTTCTTAAAATCGCATTTTAATTTCATATAGAAATTTTTTCACAAACAGCCGAAGCCGCGGGCCGAGAACCGGATGCACGCGGTCAACAGAGGTTTATCTAAAATAAACCCTTGAAATTACATAATAAATAAATTATCCAAGCTAAGATCTCACCTCATATATATTGCATCAAGAAACAAAGCTCAGATATGAATAAACTCCGACATATGGTTGTCTTTCACTCATAGATTATTCCGCACATGCATGGCATATTATTTCTAAGATGTCACACGCGACTGAAATCACGACTTCGCGCCGCGGTGATGTGACAAATGCACGTGATAAACAAAACGTCCTTTGTCCTTTGCTCATTTCAAATTATTCTACCGGCGGTTGCTGTGATGGCGGGTGCACTTGATTTTACTGTTTGTTACGATCTTACAAAAGTATACATTTCAACTCTGCGGATTGTCTGAACACGTAGATGTTGCATTTATCACGGATCAAAAATGGGTATGACTCCTCAGCGACTGTTATGTACTTTAAAAGGATCTGGTTCAGTTTCTCTCCGAAGCACGCGGTCTTGTGCTGTCTTTTGTGTTAATCCAAGAGTCTTCTGTTATGTGAGTATTATACACAATATATGCATAACATGTTACTAAGACGCTTAAGTATACGCCATATGAGAAACAAATGAAGGGTAGTAAACATTTATATACTCCCGCCTGTACGGCAATTTTAGTTTTTACAGGGTTCCATGCTCAGCCTCGCCATTCTCAGTCACTTGATGTCACGTCACCGACCTCTTTCATTCTCGTGTAAATTTGATGGTGTTATTCTTATGTTGTTCTTTATCAGCCAATAATTAAACGTTCAGGCGTAGCCTGCAAGCTTCTGATAATAATTGAGTAAAGCCGTGAATATAATAAAAAATGTAAGTTACATGTATGTAGATTAATATTTACCGGTAACGTAACGCAATACTCTTTTGAAGAGGAAGATTGATAGCCTGTGTACCGACCCTTCCCCTCCGATTTTTATTGAGGGGAGGGGGTTTGTACACAGGCTAAAGATTGATTTCAGCATTTCAGAAAAATTCCATAAGAATTTCCCGAGAATTCGTATGGAAATCAACGTAAAGTAATCGGCTAAGAGATAATTCCGGTGAAATGCTAGCGTAGGACTGTGTGGAGAAATTTCGCAGAAGTAAATCTTGCTTTTTCAGAGTAATTTTCGACGGTTTTGTATTCATTTTATTTCATGAATTTAAATGGTATTTTCATCCTGTTTTTGTACTGTTTTTATGCTCTTTCGACCGATTTTTGTACTGTTTTCAGACAACTCTAAGGCTATTTTCTTACTATTTTATACTGTTTTTGGATTTTTGCATCCTATTTTTGATGTATTTTCACAATATACGCGTGCTATTGCTTTTCTTCCTCTGTGTCGAGCCTTGCAAAAGCCCTGGAATTTTTTATATATTTTAAACGAATTTAAAAATACATTAAAAATTATTTTTTAGTAGCGTTTTAAACAGGTTAAAACACCTTTAAAAGCAGTCGAAAAATACATTAAAAATACACTTTTCACCCCATTTAAAACCTATTTCACAAAACAGGTTAAAAACAGTTTTCAAAAATAGCTAAAAAATACATTCAAAACAGTGTTGGATTTGGTAAGGGATATCAGAAGGCTGGGAGGGTTTTACTGAACCTTCAAAACCTTCACTGGAATGTCATTGTGGAGTGATAATCAATAAATTTCCAACAACAATACTATATTTAGTAGTTTTGTATTAGATAGTGACTTCGGTTTCAAGTATTTCCTTGAAATTGTTTGTACAAAAATTACCCTGTAGTTCTGAATTTTACTTGAAATGATTATAATGGTTTACTCAATAGTGAGGGGACAACAAGGGGCTTATCCAGTTGCTAGACGGTAAGAGTGAGTACATCAGAGAGGGGTATGCATTGACCCTCAAAGGAGTGAAGTACAAGAAACAGAAATAAAAATTGAATGTTTTGCAAAGTTTATAAAAAGAATCAGAAGGAGCTTGCAAAAATGTACAACTTGAGTTGTTTGTTATGAATTTGATTTACAACAAAATCAAACAAGGTAAAATTGATTTTATATCAACCATCAAAAGAAGTTATTGTCCCTTAAGCCTACTACCCTTGGCTCATTGGCCTAGATGGGTATGTGCTGCTGATTTAGGGTGGTGACCATTTCATCCCTTAGAGTTTTGAACAGGGTGTCTGTTTGGGCTGTAAAGGTTGATGAAGAGCAGTCTATAGTTACATTTTTGGTACCACCATTTTTTCCCCAAGTTTTTTTTCCATGTTTCAAAGTTTAAAAGCTAACTTAATTCTGTATGCTAAATGAAATGAATCAGAATTATAAAATAAGGTCTCTTGGCTTAAAAAGGGTAGGGAAATAAACAATGTGTCCTACTACCCATGCATACTCTCTTTCAGAGCAAGCCCAGGGAGGTGCACTGGACGAAAAAACGGATTTACCTCTATAGCAAATTTGGAGCAAATCATCTGCAAATGTCACATTTGCTTAATTTTGCTCAATTTTGCCACATGACATAGGACCAACTTTGCCATAATTTTGCATCAGTGGCAAAGGTGGTAAATGCCGAATTTGCCTCAAATTTGCCCCGTGTGTAAAAACAAGGATAACCTTTACTTTATCAAGGCATTTACAGGGGTGTCAAACTTGATAGCAAAACTGACATTTGTCAGGTTTTTGCCCAAATGGGCAAAAGCGATCGAAGATGAATTTTTGAATGCTTTTGCTCTCTATAGCAAATTCGGTCAAAGTAGTAATTTGCCACATTTTTGCTCAATGTAGCAAAAGTGACCAAAACTCATTTTTCAACAGTTTTGCCCAGGATAGTAAATCTGAGCAAAAATTCACGTTTGCCACTGTTTTGCTCAGGGTAGCAAATTTGGCCAAATACCACTTTTTTCTCAAGTTTGCTCAGGATGGCAGATATGATCAAAACAGTAGTTTCCCATACTTTTCCCCATTGTAGCAAAGTTGATCAAATATCAGTTCTTCTGTATCTTTGCTCAGGATGGCAAATATTGCCATGATAGCAGTTTTCCATACTTAAAGTAAGGTAAACAAAGTTGATTAAAATATCACTTTTTTACACT